TCATTAAAAACAGCAATGTAGAGCAAAAATAGAGATAGGGAGCAATAATCGATTTATATATGGTCAACCTAGACCAGCAACTTAAATTTTTTGACATTCTTCCCAATGCGTAGATTTTTTTGGCTATTTTGTTTGTAACAAACTTAAAATGTTCAACAAAACTTAAATTTTCATCTATAATACATCCCAAATACTTATACTGAACCACTCTCTCCAAAGCAATACTATTAATTTTTACATCTTTTATTATATTATTTAATTTAAAATTTTTATTCTTTATAAGCATCATTTTTGTTTTAGTTACATTATGACTTAAGGAATTATTATCGAGCCATTTTAATATATTACATATCTCTTCATTTATTATATCGATTATTTCATCTACCTTATCCCCTATTGCATATATCACAGTATCATCGGCAAACAACTATACCTTACACTTTTTAAAAACATCAACAATATCATTTATATACAGTATGAAAAGAGTAGGACCTAACACAGTTCCCTGTGGCACACCATACAGAGACTTCTGAGCCGATGAAATGGCACCATATTTTGTCACTTGTGTTCTATCAGTCAAATATTCTTGAAACCACTTTAAAATTTTTTCACCAAAGCCATATCTTTCCATCTTTCTCAATAGCAGTTGTCTGTTTATGGTTTCAAATGCACGTTTTAAGTCTAAGAAAACCACACCAATCATTTTCCCGCACTCCAGCGCACCCTTCCAGTCAAACAAAACCGTCTGCATTGCACTCTCACAGGAATTTCCTCTCCTAAACCCTGCTTGGAATTTAGTTAACACATTATTGCTTTCCAAGTACTCCACTATTTGATCATTTACACATAATTCCAGCAGTTTTTCGTATGGTGGTACCCTATTTATGGGTCGAAATTCCTCACACTTAACAGTTCCATGAACCTTCTCAATTGGTACAACCAGACTTCTCTTCCATTTACTTGGGAATACGCCACTTTCTAGACTACCATTTATAATATGCAAAATTTTGTCGCCTATTACTTCAAAGGAACTCTTTAAAATTTGAACTGTAATACCATCAACATTACTTTCTTTGTTTTTCATTTCTTTCATTTGTTTTTTTAAATCTTTCATTTCTAACATTTTGAATTTTTCCATTTTGCAGTCGACATTTATTGAACTACAAATTTCTTGGTGGGTTTTGTTTGAAATAATGCTTTCTGCTATGTCTTTTACACTGTCTAGAAAAAATATATTAAATTCTTCACTTATCTCTTTACCAGTAACCCCCCACCATCAAATATTATTTCACTTTTAGCTTCATGGTTTTTTTTGCCGTTTACAAGCTCCTTTAATGTTTTCCACGTTCTCTTTGGGTCGTTCTTACAATCATCTATTTTTTCCTGATAATAATTTTGTTTGGTAATTCTGATTAAAGCTACGACTCTATTTCTTTGTTGTTTGAAATCATCCCAGTCAGTATCAGTTTTAGTAAATATAGCCTTTTTGTAATATTGATCTCTTTTTTTAATTTCATTCGCAATGTCTTCATTCCACCATAATTTATTTCCCCAAACATCCTTCGTATTAATAGACTTTTCTGGAGCAAACTGATCGAGTGCAGACAATACATTAGTTATTAGAATATCAGCATTGTTACTTACATCTATAGAGGAACTTGACGGCCACTGCATATCCATAAGTTTCATTTGAAATCCTGTCACATCCATTATATTGTACTTTCTATAGGTTTTTGTAAGTGTCGTCTCATTGTTTCTACCCAGATCAGCTACAATTATCGAGTGATCTGTAATCTTTGGAGTTGGGAGCACTTTGCAACTAATGTCTTTTTGATTTGTAAGTACTAGGTCAATCCTAGTAGATGTCGATTTTGTAATCCTTGTGTATTCGTTTATTAGCTGATAGGTACCATTTTTAATAATAATATCATTTAATTTCATAGAGTAAAAGTTTATACTTGCCAAATCTATATTAAAGTCTCCCAATATCACAAAGATAGCATCAGTCTCAATGCTATCTAAAAACGCATCCAACTCATCCAAAAATTCAGCATGACTTGCACTAGGTGAATGGTACAGACAATAGATGTAATATTTCTGGTTTTCTATATTTATTTGTATTCCTGTTAACCATATATTCTTGTTTTTTTCTTCTTTAATAATTTCTTTATAACGATACCTTTTTTGTATATAAATTGATGTTCCTCCTGTATGTCTACTTGAAGAAAAACCAACAACTGAGTTGTAGCCATCAATATCTATTTCATTTGATGCAAAATCTGAGGTAACATGGGTCTCCGATAAACACATAATAATTGGCTTTTTCTGACTTGCAATCCATGATAACTGTGTTTTATGTGTGCTAAATCCTTGAATGTTTAGGTACAGAATGGTTGGACTTGATTGCTATATTTTACAATTACCATGTGATAATTCAGGATACCTTATTTTTTCTTGTAATCGCTCTACTACTTTCTTATAGGCTTTACAATTCCTATCCTATGCTTTATGTTTCAAATCAATATTGGAAATTTTTAAAACTTCTTCTGCATATTTGCAGTTTACACAACAAACTATATGTGATTTACAGTCTTTTACGTGATGCTCACCAGCGCATTGCTGACAAGTGGGCGTCTCTTTTTTGCACTCTTTTGCAAGGTGACCAAACCTCCAACAATTGTAACACTGTTTAACATTTACGCTTTCTCTAAAAAAATAGCTCTTCCAACCAATATGCAACTTTTCATTTTTATTAATGCGTTCGTAGGTATGCACATCCATCTGGAATATAATATTTACCATTCCTTTTCTGTTTTTCATAGTATGGATTACCTTTAGTTCTCTTACACTTGGTTCTGTTATACCATTTTGTACTACAATTTTTTCAATTAGAAGATCTTCATCTTCTATATCCTTTTTATCTAAGTTAAACACTATTATTCTGGGATTCATCTTTTCAGGTACTTTTACATCATAGGACTGGCCCAATGACATTTTTATATTATTACAGACATCCTGTACATTTTCTTTTCCATTACCCGTACATCTTATAGCAACTCCTCCATCTCTAATATACTTAACTTCTGAAACACCAACTCCCAAGTTGCATGGGTTGATTTTATCTTCAATATTCTTTCTGGTTATTTCACTTGTTTGATTTGAGTCGTTTGGTTTTACTATGATGACTTTTTCTTTTTGTTTTTTCACTGCTTTGCTGTAACTAAGATCGTTATTTGATTTCCACCTTTGGTCACACTGCTCTTTAGTACTACTTTCATTTTTTAAGACTTCATTTTCTTGTTTCAGTAAGTCTATGATTGTGTCCTTGTCTTCTAATGATGCTTCCTTAGTTTTTAATAACTGTTGATAAAGTTTTATGGATTCTCCATTCTGACATTTGAGACAGTAGAATTTCATGACACGGCTTGATAGTTGTAAGACTTTCACTTCAGATGCTGTTAATTCGCCACATTCTTTACAAATTGCATCATTACACCCATCACAGTCAAAAACATCTTTGTTTTTAACTTTAATTTGCTTACACACATTACATTTCATGTTTGAGGTTAGGTTCGGTAAAAATCAAAAAAATTTCGAAAATATTCCCGAAATATTCACAAATCCACAAAGCTAAATGTATATTTAAACGACTTGAATACTTTAATTTTAAAAATATCATCAAATCTTAACGATGATCGTGGATTTATTTTCACACTCGAAAACAACAACATACTAGCAACATCCTCTGTGCACTATATCTATGTCCAAGAGATCTTCAGCATCCTTCGAAAAACCCACATCTCAAAGGCTTCTATACGCCTCATACTTGTATAAACTCCGTATAGCAATATGAAACAAATAAACCTTTTTACAAATTGGTATCGGATATCCAACGATAACGTAGAGTTTATTAGAATTTTTTTCATTCGTTGAAATGCGGACCTAGCATATTTTATACGAGCACGTATTTTGACCTTGTGGTCAAGATCGTTTGTTATCCAGCAACCAAGATGCTGGAATCTTTGTACTGGTTCTTTGTGTGTTATATATACGAATATTAATGTCGACATTTGGTGCACGTGTAACAGCCATTACTTTTGTTTTATTTGTTTTTATATTTAGTCCAACGTATTCCCTCCGTTCTGTAATGAAATTGGTATGAACATAAATTTTGGAAAGACACAATACATGATAAACCTGGTACCAAGCGAAAATCCAAAAGTCGACTGCAACGAAAAAGGATTAGTTCATAAATATAAATAATTAGGTCATGAAATTAAAACTTCCAGGGAATTCCTACAGAATTAGTTTACACCAATTGGGTATATTTCACTTAAAAAATATACACAGTGGTACTACTTAAAAGACAACCGTTTTAAAGATATTTGAATTAAAGCGATGTTAGGGCAATATCTTTAAAGAGCTTCAGCTTCGTTGAAAAGCAGTTTTTGATAAGATGATTTATGTCAAATCCACATAAAATAAGGTCCACATTTTGTAGTCTTCTTTTGTCTTTCATTTATGGACACCCTGCATAGTTTAAAACTGCTGCTTCTTGTTTTACTTTCTGCTTAATGTAATTCACATATTTTATTTTGATATCACTTTTTGTTTTTAATTTCTTTTATATCGTTATTTCTTTTGATAGATGGTCGAATATTGCATGATCAAGTCTCAATTTTTTGAGTTTTCAACTTTGTTGCTAGGTTTTGCCGTAGATTTTTTGCGCACTTTATATTCCATTACAACACGATTGACTCTGCTACAGTTTTAAGTTTGTGCTATAGTTTTTATGTCTCTCAGAAGTGTAAGTTAATAAAATGGCACAAACAACATATTTTTGCTAATGCAATTCCATTTATAATTTGATAGTTTTATAATAATAATATTTTGTTAATGTTTATAATAATCAAAACATTTATATATAGGCCTATCGTCTTTCAAGCTGCAGATCATCGCTGTCATCGAATTCCTCCAAACAGCAGTTCACGTCAATAGGAATGTTTAGGGGAAATAAAGTAGCAATAAAAAAAATTGTCAAAAAGAAGGTTGACGTTAATAAAAAGCTTCTTTTAGAAATCAAACAGGTAAAGCCTTAATCCATAGGTACTTTAGTTTTTCTTCACCGCGTTATTCTGGAAGTAATGCTTTCTTTCTTTTCAGATAAAAGAAATTGGTCATGAAAATACAGTACGGTTTATAGGAGCCTGTTTGGAACATCCAAATTCCTTAATTATTACCGAGTATTGCTCCAGAGGTAGCTTAAAAGATGTTCTTGATAACAAAGATATCAAGTTGGACTGGAACTTTAGAATGTCTCTAATAAACGATATAGTAAAAGTAAGAACATTTTTCATATAGTATACCTATAGCATATTGCAGTCATTTTGAGATTATGTTAAATAAAGAGATACAATTTTTTGATATAAAATAAAATTATAAAAAATTAAACACATTACTCGTTATGATTACACTCTAGCAACATTTGTTATAAAAGGGAACTAGAATTTGAAAAAATGTCTTTGATAAACAATAACAAGATAAACAAACTTCTGTGCACATAAATGCAAACAACTTTTGGTTGGCACTCTTACACAAAAAGTCTTCCTCATCTAATCTAACGATATTACTTCAGTATTCTTTTGTCCAATGAATATATTTTTTGTCCAAGTCAGTCTTTTTATGATAATCATTTTCAGAAAACGTTTTCTTTACGTGTTCACAGCTTTGCTTTCTACGTCCAAAAGGTGCAAATACTAAAGTGGTGAATCTTCACTTTAGTTATTTGAAAGGACTTGCATGATGTCATAGCTTGTTTTTTTTTGTGGTTTAGCACGCTATTTTCGAAAAATCATTTACTTCAGGAAGTTGTCTTCAATCTTTCTGTTTTACTTAATTATCTTATCCAATGTCTCTTTTTATCGTGGATGTGTAACCACAAGTGTAATTATTCCTTCTCTTTTTCTTGAAATAATATTCATTGTGTTAAACAAATAACCAAAATAACTGGCTAAACGACTAACAATAAAGTAGAAAGACTTTTGAGATTTAATTTCAATGCAGGGTTCCTGTTCATATTTATTTCGATATTATTAGGTCTCCTCAGAGCGACTTATGCAGAAGCTCTGAATTGAAAATAAATCTCTTCCGAAATCATTATAAAAATATTTATATTTAAACGTTACAACGCCATCTAATAACGGTAGGATGTAACAAATAATGTCTTACTGGGAGGTGTAGGATGTCAACGCAATAAAAGTGTGTGGAGTAATGTGACAAAACCAAATAAATTAAAGCTGGCCAGCAGAATGTACCGGAGAGTGACTACTTGATGACAGGATACTTAAAAAAAAAGAAATAACGTAAATGAAAGTGGTTACTTATGGAAGTTGTTCTAAGATATGATTGGGCGCCAGGAAAGTATTAACATATACCTTCCAAGGTATCTTGTGAAGCTCTTTGCTGCAATAAAAGGGAAACAGATATTAATTATTACAATATTTAGTTTTCACCACAAATTTAGACGTTGAATATATCCCTATCCAAATATATATAGTCTCATTTATTATATGCTACCCACCACCATTGTATGTACAGTTAACCTAGTTACTAAATTAGTTATATACTAAAAAAATCCCTAATTATACACAATTGATCCCTGATAAATCTGAATTTATAAATAATAAAATAGAAAATTTTAAGGATTTGACCTAAAAAGGTAATTGACTGGCCTACTAGAGATGTAACCCTGTACTTCGACTTTGAATTAAATAATCTGCTAAAGTAATGAGGACACTATCCTAAAAGGATATATGTCCAAAGGTTTAAATATATAATATTAAAATCACAATTAATAAGTCTCTGATTAAATGTGTACACATAAAACCGTACAATAGAGTTGAAAGGCAGGACTTAAAAATCTTTACCTGTAGTTGAAAATTAGTCCTTAAATGTTATTCAGTAAATTATTTTAAAAAAATAACGGCTCTTATAGTAGTAGAAGTTAAATAGTAGAAGCTCTGAAATAGTAGAAGTTAAATATACAAAAAAAAATATTAAAATTGGTGAATAAGACTTAATGCAAATGAACAGTGTTCCACTCTCTAAATGGGGCAGGTCGTTCCAGCTGGTTCCCTGAAGTTGTCCGAGAACAGTTTCAGAGACGTCTGGACCTCTAAACGAACAACCCTGGATGACAGAAAAATGTGTAAATTCAAACTTAATTATTTGATTTTAACAAACCAAAATCCAAAAAAAAAAACAAAATACAGAATTATTCCCCTGACTTCTACTTGACTCCCAAAGGTAGGCTAAAAAAACATTTCTCTCTTACTCTTGATTCATAGTAGGTAAAAACACAAGGTTTATGAACCTTGAAAGGTTTTATAAAGAGTACTTATGAAGTATGAAGGCAAAAAACTTTTTTTTGCTTTTTGATTAATTATATAGACAATTTTACCGAAAAGCATGCTATGGATAATAATATATTTTATAATATAAAAGAACGGTATAAGACAGAATATTTTTATCGATACTCTTAATAGATAATAGATTGTTTAAAAGATAGATAATTATGTTGTTAAGGCCGGGAAGTAAAATTAAAATACATATGATTTTATATCAATAACACTTTCGGTTTAGATGTTGAATATTTCTTTATGAAATGATGAAATATATTGAATCAAATGAAAAATGACAATACTATAGGATATCGAAATGGCTGATGGTTTTTATATTTTTGTTTTATTGATTGGATACACTTACTGACTCAGAGTGGCTATAAATCAAACAGGACACTTAAAAAAAACATAAACTAAAACTTTATGCTACTTCTTATTCATAAAAAAACTTTAAAATTCCAAAAAAAACCCTTTTAAGGCATCTCGGTCCCCTACCTTTAAACTCAAGTGTCTTTAAAGAACGTCAACGCAGAAGTGCGCGATCGGCACTTGTTTTGAGCTAGCTAAACTATGGTTGCAAACATAGACGCTTGGTGTCGCTGTTTAATACCAACTTAAAATTTAAGAATTAAGAAAATTATTAAGAGAATTTGAATTTAAAAAATTTATTTAAAAATAATATTGAAGTGACGGACTTGTTACAAGGAATTCAAGATTTATTATTTGGTGAAATTAAAATCCAGATAATTGTCTTCTGCATTTTCTACAGTATACAAAGCAGATTAATTGTTGAATTAAAATCTTTCCCAAATTAGTTTCTAGTAGTCACAAACTTGAGTAAATAAATAAAGCAGAAAGAAATTTAATTTCAATGCAGGGCTCTTGCATCCACTTATTCCTATTTCGACCATATTAGGTCTCCTCAGAACGACTTATGCAAAAGCTCGGAAGCCACTGGTTGGTCTTTGAACACAGCCCCTGTCCGAAATGTAGCTTACAGATTAAATGCGACGCCATTTCGGTGGTAGTGCCTTTTTTTCCCGAATAGAATACATCGTGGTCGTCTATGCTACATTTACGGGTCTCTGTCCACCGCATTTCGCTTATCCCAAGAACTATCATCTCACGTATGGTGTTTTGTATCTTACGAGGCTCGTAGAGACTTCTCATATTCCAGCCTATTCTGATATCTAATGTTTTTTTATATTCTTTTCCTTTATTACAGGGATTTCGTTAGATAACGGCTTGGAAAGCACTGTGTGCTTATCTTCTCCTGTCTGATATTGGTGTCCGATGACCATGATAAGTATACCTTTTCTTATCATATGATCATTATGATTGAACTAGGGAATAATAATGCGATGGTACCTTATTGGTACCTTAATGGTACCTACATAATGGTATCTTAAATTATGAACACATTAATATAGGATATTGGAAAAATATCCACGATAGATTACTACAAATTTCGTTGTTAAAGTAAAAATTGTACGAAATAACTTCATTTTAAAAAGTCTTTTGGGCTCATATTATAAAAATTAATTTTTCTTTTACCCAGATCTGATTCTATAGGGTGACCATCCGTTCCGGATTTTGACCTTCTTTTACAAAAGTTTATTATTTTCGTAAAATATATGATATATGTCTTTTATTTTTAGGGCATGAGTTATTTACATCAATCGGAAGTAGCAGTTCACGGTAAGTTACGCTCGTGTAACTGTTTGATTGATGGACGATTTGTTTTAAAAATATCCGATTTTGGACTTTCAACCCTAACAACCCCAAATCAGATAATAAGAGATAGCGAATTCTTTCGAAGTAAGTATTACAATCTTTATATATAATATTCAAAAACCCCTGAATCGATTGCAATAATATTTTGTAAAAGTGTATTTGTTGGTCCAACATGTGTGTAGAATTGTAACAAAAATAGTAAAAGCAGTTTTATTTTACCATAAAAACAGTTACATATACTGATTTTAACCATATACCATCAGATATAAACTGTTATTAGTTGTAACAATAAAACACTGAAAAACTTTGTTTTCAAACTTCCACAAAATTTATTTTGTGTACCTCTTATCATAACAGCGGTTTCGGCTGATTGCCTTTCTCAAGTGATCTTTTTTTTGCATGCGTTTAAACATTATAGTCTCTAATGAAATAAGTTGAGGAGGGGAGAACTGTTTGTCTCAACTGGGTCATTCAGAATTATATCTGTGTTTTTTAATTTGTTGATTTCCATGAATTCTAACAAGGATAGCTTAAGGCCTTTATTTTGAATGTAAAGAATTTTAAGTTGGTCATTAAAAGAATGATTCTGTTCTAGAAGGTAAAGTGCGTATGTAGAATCTGTTTATACATTATTGAAACCCATTTTATGTTCTGCTATTCGTTTATTAAAGTTTCTAATAGTTTGACCGATGTATGTTTTTAGGCAGTCGCCACATTTAAGTTTGTACGTACACACCACTGTGTAAGTGTTTTTTATTTTGGCTCTTGTTGTTTTTAATATATTTGCCTAGGTTGTTATTTGTTCGGAAAGCTGGTGTTATTCCTTTCTTTTTTATGTGTTTGGCTATTTTTGTTGATATTTTGCCTGTATATGTAATCGAGCAGAATGTACTGGATTTTTTCTCTAGTGGTGGAAATACTAATTTCAGGGCTTTCTTGTGTAGTTTTTGATTTAACATTTTACCAATTGTTTGATCGCCGTATCCGTTGTTTACTGCTATTTGCTTAATGATATTTAATTATGTCTCAAAGTTGTATTTTGACATCGGAATTTTTGGTAATCTATATAACATACTGTGATAGGCTGCCAGTTTATGTTGTGTGGAATGGGATGATGAATTGTGTATAGTCGTGTCAGTATGGGTTGGTTTATGAAATGTGGAGAAGTCATGTTTTTAAGTCTGATAATTTTTAAATCTAAAAAATGTATGGATTGATGTTGTTCTGTTTCTATTGTAAATTCAATATGACTATGAAGTGAATTAATATACAATTAAAATTGGTCGAGTTATCTGTTAGTTCTTATGAAACATACAAGTACGTCATCTACGTATCTCCACTAATATAAAAACTGTTTAAATATGGTTTGTTTTGAAATCTTCATCTCTAGATGATCCATAAAAATATCTGATAGAAATGGGCTTAGAGGATTGCCCATTATAAGTCCTGCACTATTATTTATATATATTTGAAGCTGCCGACAACGTCGGCAGACGAAATAAAGATGGACATTTCAGTTAGTTTTTAAATATTTTTTAAGAACTGTTACTTGAATTTATGCATAAAATATTCATTAATTTTATAAATCGGATTACTTTTTCACTTACTATGTATTCAGTGATAACAATAATTTATTTACTATACAATAAACACTAATATTTGAGAAAAGAAAAAAAAATAATAAAGTGTCATAGTTATACTGTTACTTATCGGAACGAGTAGACTCATTTGGAACATCTTTAACTTATCTGTTAGTGTACACCTACATTGGAACCGTATTTTTCCCGAACCGATATCTTTCGACGTCGGCCGACGTCGGATTGAAAACAAACTCAAGGTAATAAATCATAGTGCCTATACTGCTTCCGTAACGAAGCAGTATAGGCACTCTGATTTAATACCTTGAGTTTGTTTTTAATCCGACGTCGGCCGACGTCGCCAGATATCGGATCGGGAGAAATACGGTTCCAATATAGGTGTACACTAAAATGTATCGTTGTTTATATGCCTTGCATCGCTTAATGAAATAAGGTAGAGTAAAAATATTTTTTACGTCAAATGAAATTAATCTGGAGTTGTTAGGTATATGAATATGTTGTATTTTATTAACTAGTTCTATTGTATTTTTTATGGTAAATTTAGGTGAAAATATAGTGTGTTCTAAAATAATGTCTAACAGTTTTTTTGAAAGCTTATATGACGGAGCTGTATCTAAAAAAGAGACTACAGGTTCTTATTGGGTGATCCGGTTTGTGTAGTTTAATGAAAGAGTATAATTTAGGAGGCGGTGGATTCATGATATTGAGGTATTTCTGTTCTATTGGATTTACTATTGATTTTGAATTTTCTAATTCTAGCTTAATTTGTTTTTAATATTTTTCTGTCAGATCTTTGTGTAACGTTTCAATATTTTGATTATTTAAGAATTCTATTGTTTTGTTTTAATATTCTATTTTATATATAGCAATAGTAGTGTTACCTTTGTCTGCTTTTGGAAATACTATGTTGTTTTCTATTGATTTATTTTTAATTAAAATGGCTGTCTTATTGTAACAGAAATTTTTAGTTTCATTACACACATCTGTAATATATTTGGCAATTATACTTTTTTCCATATTGTTAGCAGTTTTGTTTAACGCTACTTCACATTCTACAACTAAACGTTCTAAGTTCTTTCATTAATATGTTGGGGCAAATTGTGTTTAAATCCTTTCTCTAAAAGTTGTATCTCGCTATTACTAAATTTAGTATCTGTTAAATTTATAAATCTATTGAAAAAAGTATGGTTCGAAAAACTTTTTGTATAATGAATATTGGGTTTTTTACTATTGCAAATTAGATTATTTAGTTTTTTACACTGTAGACATAGTTTTTACATACGTAGACGACGTACTGGTATGTTTCACAGGAACTAACAGGCAACTCGATCAAATTTTATCGTATATTAATTTATTTCATAGTCATATTGAATTTACAATAAAAACAGAACAAAATCAATGCATAAATTTTTTATATTTAAAAATTATCAGACTTAAAAACAAACATGGCTTCTCCATATTTCATAAACCTACCCATACTGACACGACTATACACAATTCATCATCCCATCCAACACAACATAAACTAGCAGCCTATCATAGTATGTTACATAGAGTAACAGAAATTCTTTGAGACATAATTAAATATCATTAAGCAAATAGCAGTAAACAACGGATACAGCGAAAAAATTAATAAAATGTTAAATCAAAAACTACACAAGAAAACCCTGAATCTAGTATTTCCACCACCAAAGAAAAAACCTAGTACATTCTGCTCGATTACATATACAGCCAAAATATCAACAAAAATAGCCAAACACATAAAAAAGAAAGGAATAATACCAGCTTTCCGAACAAATAAAAACCTAGACAAATATATTAAAAACAACAAGAACCAAAATCAAAAAACTTACACAGTGGTGTGTACAAATTTAAATGTGGCGAATGCCCAAAAACATACATCGGTCAAACTGGTAGAAACTTTAATAAACGAATAGCAGAACATAAAAGGGCTTTCAATAATAGAAAAATAGATTCTACATACGCACTTCACCTTCTAGATCACAATCATTCTGTTAATGATGAATTTAAAATTCTTCACATTCAAAATAAAGGCCTTAAGCTATCCTTGTTAGAATCTATGGAAATCAACAAATTAAAAATTACAGATATAATTCTGAATGACCAACTTAAGACAAACAGTTCTCCCCTCCTCAACCTATTTCATTAGAGGCTATAAAGTGTAAACTCATGCCAAAAATAGATCACTTGAGAAAGGCAATCAGCCGAAACAGCTGTAGTGAGAAGAGGTACACAAAATAAATTTTGTGGAAGTTTGAAAACAAAGTTTTTCAGTGTTTTATTGTTACATAAAATGAATTTCCATCAAGTAACGGTCGAATCCATCAATTGTTATTAGTTGTTATAATGAAGTGTTATAATGAAGTGTAAAAAAATGTAATTTTTATTCAAGAGAAAAATATTTGTACTTTTGACATTGTAAACTAATATAAAGGAAATATGTTTAAAATTAAAATAATTTTTGAATGTTCAGCATTGTTTATTTACAATAAAAAAACTATTTTTTCCTTGCAATAAAGTTAATAATTTAACTTTGTTCATTAATTCAATTCAATAAGAATTATAAATTTTATGAAGCAAGTCTAAATAAATTTTCAATCATATATCAATACAACAAACAATCTATACTGTATCCATAAAATTTTCCATATTATATTATAAAGTAAGCTCTATTACCTCTAAAAAAGTATATGTTATAAAAAATTATAATAGATACCATTTTAATGGAAATAAGCCACAATTAAAGGTTAAAGTAAGTTTATTGACGCTTCAATTTCCACTTCGGAAATCGTTCTCAAAATGCAAACATTCTTTGTATTTTGATTCCTCCCACCAGAGCTTAATTCCTTTGACACTGTTGGTATCTGTGATGAGTGAATTTTCCCCTTAGAGGGAGTGTGAGCCGTATGGCTAAATCTGGTTAATATGGCATAATCTATAAGCCCTTCAAAATAATCCCCTATAAAACGACCTCTTAATTCTTAAATACCATGGTGGGAAGTAAGCCGGATAATATAGCAAGCAAATAGATAGTTACCAATAAACAAATACACTACTTACTCCAACTCAGATCGCTTACGCTACAGAAAATCACCAATTAGAGATACAATAAACTTGAGTTTCAATATCCAAATGATCTCCCACTGAAAGAATATGCAGATCGACAGACTGAACCCAATAATAAAAAACATATAGGTACATATATCAGAAAAGCTCCACCAGGTTTTGACCTCCTCTCTTCACAAATTGAACAAGAAGATATTTGCTAAAAGCAGTTGTAGTGCCGAGGGACAGACCATCCAGCATTTAGATAATAAATTGTAATATGTGGTGTAAAAAATTAATTGTCATACGCCTAATTAGATATTTAGAAGAATAAAATTTATTCTCTTTTGCGAAGTCAATCTGTTCACTAGTCGTAGACTAGATAACAGAAAAATTTGTACTGTTTATATTAACTCATTTTTTAAATAAACCATCTTACTGTTGCTTGGTATTTGGGCAATTGCAGATATGTTCGACATGTACTTTTTCAAATTTCTTTAGATTAGTTTATAATATAAAAATAAATAAATAAGTTTGAATGAGTTCGTTTTTAATTAGTTTTACACATATAAACAGCAAGAGATAAATCATATCTCTTTCGTTAATATTAAGCCAAAAGAAGTAGACACCTTTACTTTATTTCTAAATGAATATATAAAATGTATTTAAAAATGTTATATTCTACTTCAGAAATGCTTTGGGTTGCCCCAGAACTTATTCCATTGGATACGAATCCCGTTTTACTGCCAACACAGAAAGGAGACGTTTACAGCTTTGGAATAATCCTTGAGGAAATTATACTTAGAGCTGGACCATTTCAGTCTGCTCGTGAAGAATTAGGTGTAAATGGTAAGGATTCTTTTTAATCGCCGCAGACATATTATATATACATAGTGTCTTAAAGAAAATTTTTATTCCCCTAAAACACTTCAAACACCCAGTCTATGTTTATATCGAGTAATTTTTAATTATATTTCTTTTTCATATCATTCAACTTAAACTGTAGAGATTAATTTCAATTATGCTTAGAACGATTTAATGTGAAACAATGAATTAAAACTATGTTGTTACTGATAGAAATAGTTTCCCGAGTTGCAGCCCATGAGAATCCACCGTTTAGACCCCTAGTGCATAACGACGAATGTCCTGAAAAGCTTTCGGAACTTATGGTATCATCGTGGTGCGAAAATCCTGATAATAGACCAACGTTTCAACAAATTCGACTACTTCTACGAAATTTAATGAAGTAAGTACTATTGGTTCATATCGATAATAAAATAGTCGTTAATCACCTTTTTTTCTTAAAGGCAGTTTGGTGAAAATATTATAGACGATCTTCTCAGAAGAATGGAGCAATACGCTAATAATCTCGAAGTATTAGTCAATGAAAAAACAGAAGAATTGAGTCAGGAAAAGCGAAGATCTGAAGAACTACTTTATCAGGTTATACCTAGACCAGTAGCTATGCAACTGATGATGGGGCAGTTCGTTGAGCCAGAGCAATTTGAATGCGTTACTATATATTTCAGCGATATAGTGGGATTTACTGCGTTCTGTGCTATTAGTACACCTATGGAAGTAAGCATATTACTGGCTGGAGATGTCAGTATTTTTTATAAAATACAGAAATTATTTCGTTGCATTATTCGTTGCATCTTTCACATGTTGCCATATTTTAAATTTGGTAGTATAGTTCGAGAATTAATTCATGTTAAGGTTTTGTTAGAAAAGATCTACGTTTATGATCTTGAAAACTATAAACTCTTTGTGTATGTCATAACTTTAAATTTTATCTGTTAAGGGATAAAAAGTGGTTCACTTTGCGGTGATTCACTAATCATGTCAACACGGTTTAAGATTAGAAATTGTTGACAACACCGTAAACATTTTTGCCAATCTCACAAATGCTATTGAGGTTTGAAACACTCCCGTTTCAGTAGCGTACGATTGTTTGATGTTATTTAATTAAATTGATTATTTCTATTTGTTTCATAAAATTTAGATTATTAATAATAAGAAATTTTATTTCTTATTTTTAATAATCTATACAACGGTATTTTTTTGGTTTTTGGCTATACAATTTATATAATTCTAAAATTCTCAATGTAATTATAATAACATTTTCTTTTTAAAATAATATGTTGATGGCTATGAAAGATCAAGTATGTAAGGTTTATGTCAGGGAAATTTTAACTAAAAGTGATGTCACTTTATACAAACCATGACATAACTTTAAAGTACCTAGTACTAAAAAAACTATACACAGAATTTTATATTAACCCTTCGGTGCACGGGTGATAATTTGATACACGAAGGAACGGGTTGGGTCTGAGAAGCTCAAAAATTAAACTAAGAATTGTTTATGTTTAATTTTGTAACAACAGGTTTCCGTTGCATATATTAGGACTACTACTAAAGACAACTTACATGTACATAAAAAAGGAACTGCTATTGTAATATTAAAACTAAAAATATAAAAGAAATTACATACTACAATATGGCAGATGTTTAAAGAACACCTTGTATATAACTTATTTAGTCATTTTATCAATGCATATGCGACAAACAGGTACAGTATGTTCTAAGCAAATAATTTTTTTACAGTAGTGACACATGTAGTGAGTTTTACGATCTCTACAAAAAGTACAACGCCCCCTTTTATTTTGCAATTCCGCAGTTGCTTCTATTGGTCCAACACCACTGAGTTTAGCAGCAAGCTCTCTTATATCTCATGACAAATGAGGATATTGAGCTCTTGCCTTTATATTGTCCATCACTAACTGAAGACCTCCACTCCACACCTCTACAAGAACGTCCACTGTTTTCTGACGAAAAAGTCGGAAGTTCTAGGAATAGAACTCAGCTCTGCCAACAAATCCTACTCTCACGTCCTCGAAGGCAATATGCCGCGTAACCACTGGGTGCATGGCGCACAATGAGTGTGCGTTATGTAGCTGACGAGAGAGGGGAAAGGCGAGTTTCTGGCGCCTTAAAACTGGAACATATCGGCTATGGGAATAAACCCAGACAGAAAATTCTGGTCCTTCAGGTTGGGGGTTGTGCTATGGACCAGCGATCCATACTCAGAAAAATACACTGCTACGAAACGAATACCATTGCCTAGGAATAGGACAGATTATCAGGACAAACGACGTAAGCTACGAATAAAGGACACTCTATTAGGGACATGGAACGTACTAAGTTGGTATCGACCTGGAATTTCCACAAGAGCAATAAAACAGCTGGAAGAACTATATTACGATGTGACTGCAATCCAAGAAGTCAGATAGACTGGGTCTGGGACAATCCAAATGGAGAAGTCAATAGTGCTATGGTCTGGACATGAAACACGTCATGAAAGAGGGTGTGGTTTTGTAATAAGCGAAAGGATTAAATCTGCTATACTAGATTTCAAAGCAATTAATGATAGAGTCTGTAGCATAAGAATAAAGGGCAAATGGTTCAATCTATCGATATTCTCAGTGTATGCACCAACCGAAGAAGCAGCAGAGAAAGAGAAGGAAGAATTCTATGACTCCCTAACCCGATTATACACGGAAGCCCCAAAACATGATATCAAAATAATATTAGGGGACTTAAACGCAAAAATAGGCAAAGAAGAACACATAAGGCCGGTAGCTGGAAATCAGAGTCTACATGACATTACCAATGACAATGGTTCGAGGCTGATTGAGTTTGCAGCAGGGTGCAACATGATTATCAAAAGCACCCAATTTGCCAGGAAAAACATATATAAGGTAACATGGAGATCAAATGATGGAAGAACGAGGAACCAAATTGATCACGTATTAATTGATGGGAGGCATTCCAGTAGTATAATAGACGTAAGAACTAGACGGGGACCAGATAGTGATACAGACCATTTTCTAGTAAAGGCCAAGCTCAGAACTAGAATCTCAACACAAACAACAGACAAACAGATGAAGATCGAAAGATGGAATGTGTCTAAATTGGAAGAAGAAGAGGGAAAGAGACAATATCAACTAGAATTGAGAAACAGATTCCAGGTGTTGGAAACGAAAGAAAATAAAAGAGAAAATATAGACCAGAAATGGCACTCCATTAAAACGATCATTACAGAAACAGCAGATAAGTGTAAAGGTCGGAAGAAAAAACCAAAAAGAAAAAAATGGTTTGATGAAGAATGCGAGGATACCTTAAAAGAAGCAAACAAGAGAAGAATCGACTACCTAGCAAACCCGACGAATAAAAAGCGTGAACAATACAATAGAGAGAGAGAGCCTTAGCCAAAAGAACAGTAAGGAGAAAAAAGAGACAACATTTACAACAACAAATTGAAAAAGTAGAACGTGAACACAGAAACAAGCAAAATAAAAAATTCTACAAAGAAGTAAGACAACATAAGAAAGGTGCATATATAAGAACACCGAACTTTGTGAGAGATAAAAATGAGCAAATGATTACAGCCCATCGAAAGATGGGCTGAATACTTTGAAAGTCTTCTAAATGTCCAGGTAAACGCGGATGGTAATAAGGCAAATTGTGAGTACCAAACGGCTGAGATAGAAGTACCCCCGCCAAGCCTGGAAGAAATTATCACGGCGATAGAAACCCTAAAAAATGACAAATCCCCAGGACTAGACAATGTTGATGCAGAACTGATTAAAAAAGGAGGGCATGAACTTAGAACTAAAATACACCAATTAATGAAAAAAGATTGGGAACAAGAAATAATGCCAAAAGAATCGAGTGGCGGTATTATCGTGCCAATACATAAAAAAGGCAGAAAGGATACATGTGGCAACTACAGGGGAATCTCACTAATCGGTACTACATATAAAATATTAGCTTCAGTTGTACTAAAACGATTACTGCCATATACAGAGGAAATTATTGGCGATTACCAATGCGGCTTTAGGCCTGGAAGATCAACAATCGACCAAATATTTACTATCAGACAAATGCTAGAAAAGTATTGGGAATATAATAAAGAAGTACACCAGATCTTCATAGATTTCAAACAAGCATATGATTCCATAGATCGCTTAAAACTGTGGAGTGCAATGATTGAGTTAGACGTACCAAAGAAGCTGACCATAATTGCGCGAATGTGTGTCATCAATTCCTTTGCACAAATTAGAATAATAGGCAAAACTTCAAAGGATTTCGGCATAAGCACTGGGCTCAGACAGGGAGACTTGCTGTCCCCATTACTATTTAATCTAGCATTGGAATACGCAATGCGAAAAATCTATACCAGAGTTAAACCAGACATAACTGCCAGAGGAGCAAAGATTATTCTCGCATTTGCAGATGATGTAGATGCAGTAGCACAGACAACACTGGAAGTTAAGGATATAGTATCGAACTTTGAAGAAGCAACACTAAGCGTAGGCCTGAAAATAAACGAAGAAAAAACTAAATACATGGTCGTATCAAAAAAGGAACGACAGCGAATAAGACAAAACATTACCATAAACGATCATAATTTTGAGGTGGTCAAAGAATTCAAATACCTAGGAGCAACAATTACCAGTGAAAACACAGGAGAACGGGAGGTTGAAATACGAATACTGGCGGGGAACAAATAATTCTTTGCCATTCAATATCTAAGGAGTCAAAGATTCTTTCAAGGCGTGCCAAGATCCAAATGTACAAAACCATAATACGACCAGCAGTAACATATGGAAGTGAAACATGGACATTGAGAAAGAAAGAAATCAATAAGCTATTAGTATGGGAACGCAAAATCCTGCGAATTATATATGGTCCTTGCAGGGACAGCGTGACAAATGAATGGAGGAGCAGATACAACAATGAAATAGAGACTCTCTTCGGGAAACGAAACATCGTAAGATACATAAAAGCCAATAGATTAAGATTGGCAGGCCACGTGGTACGGAGTGATGACGACAGACTGATTAGCAATGTATTTTGGGAAAAACCAGATGGTAAAAGATCGACAGGAAGGCCTAGAAAAAGGTGGAAAGACGCAGTCAGGAAAAAAAAAAGAGGTTAATCTTTGTAAGTGGGTATATTTATTTAAAAACCCTTAAAAGGGCTACATCAAAAAAACAAACGTTTTCGGACTAAACAGTCCATCATCAGCTTTAAAATCTGCTAGGTTAAAATGCCTGAGCCACCAAAATACATGGGTAAAAACCCTTTAAGTTTCCAGCTTTTCTCCGTGCGTTGAGGTTTCTCCCCGGCTCTGGAACTCAAAACTTTTTACAATGTATGTTACCTGAAGTCATATCTAATTGATTAATGAACATCACAGTTTTTTAACAACAAGATGTATAATCTTTGATAACTATAAGTAATTTAAAGGGTTTTTACCCATGTATTTTGGTGGATCAGGTGCAACCTAGCAGATTTTAAACCTGATGATGGACTGTTTAGTTCGAAAACGTTTGTTTTTTTGATGTAGCCCTTTTAAGGGATTTTAAATAAATATTCCCACTTACAAAGATTAACCTCTTTTTTTGATACGTGGTATACAGCTAGCTACAGGAATTGTTTTCCTTGTGGATTTTGCAGTCAGGGAAGACCTGGAGAAGATGGAAGTAAGGCCATGGGAAATAATAGCGCAGGATCGAAATCAATGGAAGGCAATAGTAAACGCGGCAAAAACTCACGAAGAGTTGTAAAAGCCAATGATGATAATGATGATGAACTGAAGACCTAGTTCTTTTAAAAAAAATCTTCTTTTGCTTGTAGATCCGGTGTGTTACTTCTCTGTATCACAAATGCATTTATTGCAGCAACATAAAGCAATGCATAAAAGATGACCATGGGCCATTTTGTATTTCTTGCGACATTATAGGAACCTCGAAGTTGATCAACGGTGTCCATACCATCTTTCGTAGAGTTATAGAACATTATTGCTTCAGGTTTACTTTTGTCACCCGTTGTCGGATCGATTTGGTCATCATGGTGTAGGGTTGACAAAAGAACAACATGTTTTTTTGGTTTTGTTATATAGGACAACATTATTATATCTTTGGTAAATCCAAACATAGTTGATTTTGGAGGTCTATTGTTCATTAAAAATTCGGTTGGGATATGCCTTTTGTTTTTCCGTAGGCTGCCTACAATTGTTAGACTATGATTTGTCAGTAAGTTTTGTGCGAATTTAATTAATGTAAACCAATTGTCCATTGTATCATTTTGGTTGGATCTGGAGATTAGTTTGCAAAACCGCTCAACCACATCGTTGACTGCAGAACTGATAGAATATGGACCTGGTGGTTGTGTACCGGCATATATTTCTAATTGATAAGTATAGAACGTGCGAGAATCCACCAAGGAAAATACCTTCAGACTGTATCGGGCCGGTTTTTTTGAAAGGCACATTCTAAAACTACAGCGACCTCTAAAGCCTAAAAGCATCTCATCGATAGTGACATATTGGCCAATGGTATAATATTTTTGAAAATTTGAAAATTTTCAACTACATCCTCGAATACGACTCTAACTGCTGCAAGTTTGTCTAATTGTGTCCGTTCGTCCCTTGAACGAATATCATCTAGGCGTAAGCACTTCATAAGAAATCGAAATCTGCGGAGAGCCATCGTTGCCGGAAATATGTCAATGCCCGTACCATTTCTTTTCCAAAACTCAAAAATTGAAGTTCTACCTTCTTGGTAAACTCCAGCTAAGTAAAGCAGACCAATCAGAGCTTTTAGTTCACATATATTTGTTAGCCTCGCATTGGAACTGTCTTTATATCTCACGGACACACGCTCGATATATACATTAGTACATTCAACAATATGTTTTATAATTTTGTCATTAAAGAACAGTTCCCAGCATTCTTTTTTAGTTTTGCAACTTTTCGCTTCACGAATAACTCCAGGAAGTTTTGTTATGATATTTTCTCGTCTAGTTCTAACATTTCGTGATCCGCAAATCTTATTTCATTTCATTCGATCTTTGGTATTGTAATAAAAGTTTGACTTACCTTGTGAAATACATTTTTGTACGTTTAATTCGGTTTCTAATAAATCCAATTCAGACTCTGAGTTATGATTAGCATCTTCATGTTCTAAGTTGCCAACTATAGACTCATCGGAATCTGAGTCTTCATAATTTTCTTCCTCGTCGGTTGCAACTTCCTCGTAGAGATGTTGCAAATGTTTTGCCCCTCTCTCGTAAGAATACATTGTTTTGCTAAGCTCTAAAAACAATACACTGCAAATTTTGTTTTGTACTTTCATAAAAAAAAACTTACATTAAGGAACGGGTTGGGTCTGAGAGAACGAAACAGATAGGTATATCATCGACACTATTGCTTCAATATTCGTAACTGAGGGATTATAGCTCTCTGCCGACGAAAGGTACTTAGAACGCAAGGACCGTACTTAAACTCACTGACCGAATAGAGATATAAGAAGAACTTAATGGGCCTGACAGACCCAACCCGTGCACCGCAGGGTTAAATCCGGCTTACTTAGTCTTAAGTGTAACTGAATACCATTCGTTGATGACATCGTGAAATCTATAACATGCAACGACAATTGTTTTATTTATTCTATTTTTATTAAGTATATTTAAATATTATTTTTTATTAATTAAAGTCTTAATTTTTCCAGGTAGTGGATTTGCTAAACGAACTATACAGTACTTTTGACAGAATAATTAAATCCTACGATGTTTATAAGGTAAACTTGTTATTTTATGTTAAGTTATATATATTAGCAACCAGAATCACAAGCTGTTGTAAATAATTGTGAATCCTGCAATGCTTTTGACATAAAATAGTATTTTTTTACCTTATACTTAATACGAGGGGTGTATTAAGTGGGACATATTGGCAACCAAATTGTTAACATAAATTTATTAAAAATAAGTAAAATTAAAAATAATGCAGTATGATCTTAAAAACAAAAAAAAATATTTTTTATTTATTTCACTTTTCTTGGTTTTAGGTAGAAACAATTGGAGACGCCTACATGGTTGTCTCCGGTTTACCTCAAAGAAACGGCAATAATCATGCTAAGGAGATTGGTTTGATGGCTTTAGCGATCTTGACGCAAGTAAAAATTTTCACATTCAAACACAATCCGGATTTTCAGCTGCAAGTAAGGATTGGAATACATTCTGGTCCAGTTTGTGCTGGTGTTGTGGGTCACATAATGCCGCATTATTGTTTATTCGGTGACACTGTCAATACAGCAAATAGAATGGAAAGTACTGGAATGCGTAAGTCTATAATGCTGATATAAAATAAAATAGGGATTTTTATGGATCAATAGCAAGATGGACTTATTTCTTCTGAGAAAATATTTTAGTCCATATTTTCTCTTGTTAGCGGTTTTATTGACTGATAAACACACAAGAATACTCACATCGCAGTGAGTAAGTTTGCTAGCACGTTTATCTATTTTGGCGATGATGTTACTACCTGTTTCTTTTTTTCCTGTGTACCAAATATCATAGATAATACTGTTTTTATTTGAATTCTCATCCTTGACTTCGGTGTCGTTCATATATTATGATATTTGTGAAAATGTTATGGAGAGTGACAGGTAAAACCTACGCTGGAATCCTAAATCATAGGGAATATTTAATTAAATGCTTAAAGAAATCGCCTTAGCCGTAGTATGTTTTACAGTACACATATCTTCTTTGACGTTACTATATTTTTTAGTTATTTGATTTTTCACCTTCCTAACCGAGCTTGTGAGCGGCTAAGGAGTGAATAAAAACGCGTATCATCAATTTCTTGCGTTTAGTATGTTGAAAGACAACTATTTTCTTATTTAGTTTTTGTCGTTCATTTCAGTACTTCCGTCATTATTCACGTGCAATGGCTCATATGTAGCACGGCAATGTACAAGGTTTTCTTTGTTATTTCTTAACTTCTTAATTTATTCTACTTGCTATTACAGATACAGTCTGGTGATTTTTTGACGGCAATGTCATATTATTTGTAGTTATTTCATCTTCTTCTAATTATTTTTTTCCTAACGTAAGTGACTTTATTCTTATTTTCGTCTTATAATTTTCTCGTTGAAATTGAGCGCTTACATTTGAAATGTGCATGTCAGTGTATTTGATTTGTATGATTAACTGTTTAGTTCAGCAAGATACAGGTAATAATAGCCATAAAAAAATGCAAATATTAATGTTGGTGGAATTCGAAAGGTCAAGTAAGAGAAGGAAGGGAAGACCAAAATAATAATAATAAAAACAAAGAGAGTAAAAATTTAGCCTCCGACAAAAATTCAATAATCTGTTCAATTTTTATTTTTTTGTGGCTTTTCTATATGGCTGCTGCTAAAAAATTCGACAAAATTTCTTTGTTTTGTTATATATATATATATATATATATATATATATATATATATATATATATATATGTATATATATATAATATATATATATATATATTATATATATTATATATATATATATATATATATATATATATATATATATATATATATATATATATATGTAAATACTTTTTTCTTTTTGGGTGTGGTAGTCAATAAAAAATTGAGCTTTGCCAAGGCGTACTATTTATTCTGAATCCGAGCTTTCGGTGGTTGTTTGCCACCTTTATCAAGGTCTACAATGAAAATTACTGTGTTATAAACTTTGGCTGATGCAATATAAAAGTTATAAACACTTACCAGAAAGTAAGATTCATCTCATATGAAACACAACGTTAAATAACATAATGTGACCTGAATTGCTGAAGGCCTTAGAACTGTTAAAAAATTTAAGTTATTTTTAAATTGTAGGAAAATAAATTAAAATAAATGGAAACGAATAATGCGAGTGAATAATAAAAGTAAAAAGTAATGGCATGTCTCGCAAAACAAAAAAAAAACAAAAATGGTATATAGATGGAATATATTCCCACAATATTTCCATCTATATACCATTTTTGGTTTTTTTTTTGTTTTGCGAGACATGCCATTACTTTTTACTTTTATTATTCACTCGCATTATCCGTTTCCATTTATTTTAAACGTTTTAACGTTTGGCATTCCTTTCCCCAGGTAGCTGTAGCTTCCTTCGTGGTTGGTGTTAGTTGTTGCCCTGGAAACCATCAGAGTCTTCTAACTCTAATGCCACAAAATGGTTGCATTGCTCCTGTAGTGATCCCGTCCCAAGTTAATATGCTCCTTTTCTAACTTGGCTGCACCGTACTGAAGACGACCTATAGTCAGAAATACGTATATACGGTTGCCTTCCATCTATATACCATTTTTGTTTTTTTTTTTGTTTTGCGAGACATGCCATTACTTTTTACTTTTATTATTCACTCGCATTATCCGTTTCCATATATATATATATATATATAATATATATATATATATATATATATAATATATATATATATATATATATATATATATATATATATATAAAGTATATTAAGATAAAATCTTACCCTCTCTGTCAACCCTTTTGGTTTAAAGATAAAACAAATTCGCTTGGGAACAACAATTTTTAAATTTCTAATATTACCAGTATTAAAGTTTCGGTATCTCCATGGACCATCATCAGGTCACAGACATATACTAATTTTTTTTAAATAGTAAAGAGTGTCTTGTAACACTTTATTTGAAAATTATCAAAATCTGATTCCATAAATACTAATACACTAATAAATTCTGTTTCTTTATTAATTGATTAAATAGTAAATAATTTTCCAACTGTTACATTAATAAATATAAATAATAGAAACTTAAAATTTTAGTTTATTATGTATTCAAAAGGTTAACCTATTCTTCGTTTGTTCCCCAACATTCTGTCAAATTTCTTGAGATATGAGTTAAATTGTTAGAAATTTTCTTTATAAATTTAATTTTTCTTTATAAATTCTTTTATAATATTATAACTCTCTAAATAGCAAGGCTTTGTACATTTTTTTTATTCCGTAAATTTTAGGTAACTAAAAGAGTTTAGGTTTAGAAAAATTTAATGGGGTAAGATCTGGTGATCACTGTGGTCGGGTGGAAAGGAAATCGTTGGTTAAACATTCTTAATGATTCGTGGTAGTTACGGTCAGCTTCTTCAAAAAATACTAATTGAGCCATTTTTAAAAACTAAATTTTAATGTAGTTAAACATAAGACAAGAAATAATTAATTATAAGTTTTTGATAATCTTTTTATTATTTGATAAAAAATAGGCCAAGTACATAAAGTAAAATAATAGAGACAAACATAGTCCATGTTGTCTTTAAGGGTTTATTGTTATTAGAGGAAAAGCCACTAAATATGTTAATTTTTACTGTTTTTTGTTCTTTTAGTTCCATGACCGTTATCGATCGTTGGATATCATGTTGGCTACCACATTCGCTATCGTCACTTTATTGACAGCAGCTCTAAATAACATTGTAGTTGATTTTCCATACCATTGCCTTAGATTTTTCAGCCATGATGTTCTTCTACCAGGACCACGATCACCTTGGATCTTTCCCTAAATGATCGATGTAAAAGATCATATTTTTCAGGGTGTCTCATAATGTGACCGAAGTATTCCAGCTTGCGTTTCTTTATTATATTGACCAGTTGTGTTGTTTGGTTCAGCCGTCTAAAGACCTCCTCATTTCTAACTCTGTCGACCCAGCTTATTTTCAGTAGTCGTCTGTATACCCACATCTCAAAGGCTGTCAAGCGTTCAAAGATAGCCTCAGTTCACGACTTTCACTCCATACAACAAGATAAGAAAGATGTAGCAAGATGACACTCGAACTCTAAGGTCAATGCTAAAATCTTGACTGCAAAGTACGTTTCTTATTTTTACAAAGGCAGCTCGGGCTTGTTCTATTCGGCTTTTAATTTCTGCGGTTGGATCTCAGCTCTCATTAATATTACTGCCGAGATACACGAGTTTCTCTACTCTGTCCAGTGTGGCATCTTCGACTTTTATTCCGTCATCATGTATATAATTTTTTTTGCTAACTATCATATATTTAGTTTTCTTAACGTTGAGTTTTAATCCATACTGATCACAAGTCTGTTTTATTTTGTTCATTAGATTTTAAAGGTCTTCTCCGCAATTAGCAAGGACTAAGGTATCGTTGGCATATCTAATATTTGAAATGAGGTTGAATGCTCAAATAAATGAACTTTGAAAATAAGGCTATTATCGAGCACAAGTTAATTAAATCTAGCCCAGGTACTTTCGCTTAAAATAGCATCTTCAGGGGCATTTCGTCAAAATGTGAACTATCCGGCAGGCGTAGAATGTGGAAACATTAAAAATAACATAAAATTGTACAAAACACTACACTAAAACGAGGACAAACAGTTTAAAATTACTTCTACGCTACATTCTCTGTCAGTATCTGGAGGGATAATCCATTATGTAGTTTACTTTTTAAACAATTGTAATATGTAATAAAAATAAAATATTACTGGTATAGTATATTATTGCAAACTGATTTTAATCTATAACCGACGCAGTATTTACACAAACAAAAGAAAAAGCTATAGAGTTCGGCATGCCAGCGTATATTTGCTTCATTGATTTGACGAAGGAATTTGACAGAGTTCGCCTGGGAGACATTCTAAATATATTAATAGAAAATGAAACATCGACCAGTATAACAAAAATACTCCATAAACTAAATAACAACAACGTAACCAAAGTTAGAGCAGGAGACGAATTCACTGAAAATATTCCAACACCGGGAGGAA